TAGTAGTGCATAGAGCTCTGGGGGGGGTCCATAGGGGTGTGGGGATTCTGTGGGGGTCCCTAGGGCTCCACAGGGGTCTGGGGGGTGTATAGGGGTCCACTGGGGATTCCACGGAGGTCCCTACAAGGGGTTCGTAGGGTATCATAGGGGTCTGCAGAGGTCTGTCGGGATCCATAGTGGTCCGTAGGAGTCAGTAGGGGTCTGTCGGGGTCTATTGGGGTCTGCAGGGGTCTCCAGGACTCTGCAGGGTTCTGCTGGGGTCTGTAGGAGTTCATAGGGGTCTGTAAGAGGCTGCAGGGGTTCACAGGGGTCTTCAAGGGTCTCTGGGGTCTGCATAGGTCTTTAGGGGTCTGTAGGGGTTATTAGGGGTCCGCCGGGATCCGCAAAGGTCCCTGCAGGGGTATCAGGGATCGGTCAAACTGTGAAGTACAAGCAGTCACCCCCCCGAAGAAACAGGAATAAACGGGAAAAAAACCCCATAGATGTCAAAAAACCAAAATTCCCAGGTGACACGGGACCCCTGAGGTGTCCAGCCTCAGGTGTCCAACCCCAGGCGACCATAGGGGTCTGCAGGGGTTCGCAGGGGTCTTCAAGGGTCTCTGGGGTCTGCATAGGTCTTTAGGGGTCTGTAGGGGTTATTAGAGGTCCGCTGGGATCCGCAAGGGTCTGCAGGGTATCAGGGGTCGGTCAAAACTGTGAAGTGCAAGCAGTCACCCCCCGAATAAACAGGAATAAATAGGGAAAAAACCCATAGATGTCAAAAAAACAAAGTTCCCAGGTGACGTGGGACCCTGCCAGCCCCTGAGGCGCTGCCACCCCCCTCGTGCCCTGAGGAGAACCCCCCCAATTGGGGTATCCAGCTGTCACCAGGCCTTGATGGCGCTGGGTTTGGGCAGAACAGGACGGGGCCTGTTGTCACTGGTGTCCCTGGGCTTTGGGGACATGGAGACCTCCTGCTCTTGGGGCAAATGTGCGATGGCTCCTGGTGAATTAGCAGCCACCACTCACCCTCAGGCTGACAGCATGGCCGTGCCCCACATGAGTCAGGGCAATGGCAGGAGGGGGGCCGGGCGCCCCTCGGGGTGTCTCAGGCACTGGGGACACGGAAAAAGGGACAATTTTCGCCCCCAGCTCAGCCTCCTGGCCCGGGTGGACACACAGAGGTCTCGCCATCCCCTCAGGGTCAGGCCTTGGTGGGATCATGGCTCCTGCCAAGCGCTATGGGGGAGGCCTGGGGAGCTTGTTGAGGTGCAGGAGGGTTGGGAGAGCTCAAAAAAAGGGTCAAAAAAGGCTCAAAAAGAAAAAGCACAGGTGCATTTCTGCCAAAACCGGGTGTTTTGGGAGGATGGAGCTGACGGCAGAGGGCGGCACAGGCCCGTCGCTGGCGCCTGGCCACAGGGAGGTTTGTCCTGACCCCACCTGCTATTGCTCTGCAATAAAATCATAGACTATATTTCGAGTGGGAAGGGACCCTCCATCAGCTGCCTCGGAGGTACAGGGAGATGTTTCAAGGGGGCAGAGTGAGCCCAGGACCCTGGCAACAAGCCCAAGATCTGCGGCAGCTTTCGATTCTGAAGGAGAACGAAAGCCGAGAGAGAAGAGTCGGTTCCTTTTCCCATCCTGAAGCTGGAGCGGAGAAGGGAAACTAAAGAGCTGGCAAAAATAAAGCCTTTTGAGGTACCCAGCTGCAGGGAGGTCACTGCCCGCCGGGTCTGGAGGTGCTGTGTTGACCTAGCAAAAGTTTCCAGAATGGAGCTGGTCCATCCCGGGGTGAAAACGTCGTTCCTTCCACCCAGAGTTAAAAACCTGTGGGCTCCAAGGGGTGACAAACAGGGTTATCTCGAATGGCCTCATCCTGTAGGACGAGTGTAGACTCTGGGAGGTGGAAACCATCCCACATGGGATGTCAGTGGGATGCTGAGCGCACCAGGGTCTGTCCGTCTGTCCTAGAGTCACTTTCGGCATCTGCACATCCCTACAACGCTTGGTGGGATGTCTGCCGACCCTTAATCCAGTCAGGATGGGTTGGATGGGTTGGCTTTGCTGTTCCCTCCCAGCCTGAGGGATAAATGCTCCTTGGAGGAGTTTTCCCTCCCACTTTTCAGCAGCAATTCACGCATCGTCTTCTCATGCTTCATCTATTGGCTTTATCAAAGACTTTGTTTGGAAACGCCCAGCTGGAAAAACAGGAGAGTGACCCCTCCGCCCTGGCTCCTGGTCACTGCTCTGCCCACACCCTGCTCCTCGCCACCAAAGGAGAGAAAAACCCACCCAGAAAGTGGGAGAAAGGACCGAAATCCAAGTTCTTGGTGTCCATGGCCGTGCTTCGATTGCTGTCAGGTCTCAGCTGGTGATGACAGGGGCCAAACTGAGCCAACCTGGGCCAAACTGAGCCAAATGGATGTGCTTTGGGGGGGATCTACACGCATCCATGGACCTGTGTGCACCCACAGGGATCTGCTTCGAGTAGTAGCCTGGCACCGAGATTTCGGCTGCTGTGACACATCTGTGCTGAGGTTGGCAGCGCGGGGGTGATTTCCGTTGGGGTCGGTGCCCATGGCTTCCGAGGCTACACACACACGTGTGTGCCCAGCCCTGCCTGCTTGTTTTGAGGTGGGGGGGGGGAAAGATGAATAATTTCGGGCAGGGGTTGAACTGAAATGATATTTTGCCGCTTCTGTTTTTCTCACCGCTTCGGCAGTGGGGTGAGATCTCCGTCCCCGCAACTCGCCCGCTCCCCCTTCGAATTCACACGCCTGGGTGTCACTTCAGGTTAACTGAAGTGGCTGCTTCAGCTTGAAACAGCAGCTTTTCAGGTTGCTTACCCCCCCTCCCCCAACTGTAATAAACATGGTGATTAAAGACAAAAAAATCACAAAAATATTACTCCGGAGGAAGGGGACCAAAAGCTTGGAAAAGGATGAAAAGAAACACTCCGATTAGCCCTTGTAAAAATACGTTCCTTTAGCTGAAGCTGCTAAATTCGACTCAGCTTTACACACCGGAAAGGTTTTGTGGTTGGTTTATTTTTTTTTTTTTTTTTTACGTTTAATAAAGGGTTTTTTCCTCATGAAAACCCCCACCGACTCCCAGGCCGTGATGC